GCCACACCAGCAGGGATGCGACCTGAATCATTTTGAAATGTACAGTTCAGTGACAATAAGTACATTCACATTGTTGTGCTATCATGTGTCTGCTTTTTAAGAGTTCACGAAGCCCTCCAGGATTTTGTGGTGCATCTGGTCGTTACTGAGAACATTGATTAAGGCTGTTCAGGAGGTTGGGAAATGCCTGTCGTTGGAGAAGTTCTAGTTAGCAGATGACTGGCTGTGATCCTCATGTGGCTGTTTTTCCCTGGCCTGGTAGGGGCTGTTATTAGCCCGGGGTTGGGCCCTGGCAGCCTGACTATGTACAGCTCAGGGCAAGTTATCTGAGAGGCAGGATCATAGAGGAGTTGAGAGCGTGGGTCTGGAGCCAAACTGCAGGGCTCCAAACTGAGGCTGTGTCACTTACTAGCTGCACGACCTTGAGAAGCTGCTTAACTTAACTTCTGTGTCTATGTTTCCTCTTGTTGAAAACGAAGGTAACAGTGGCTCCCGCATTGGGTTGCTATGAGCATTCATCGTGAGTAAATATGTAAACAGCCTTAGGAGAGTAGCTGATAGGTCTTAAGTGCCATGAAAGAGCCATTATTATTATTGGAGGGAAGAGAGAGAAGAAGAGAGGTGGGAGGTGGAACGAAGGGGTTGTTTCAGCAATTCAGGCTTAAGAGAGATGGGGCCAAGTCCACACAAGAGGGTGGAGTCAAAACCAAACCAAACCAGGTTAGAAGTGATTTCTATCTATGCCAGAGGAGCTGTGTGTGATGCTGGCCCTGAGCCAACTTGAGAGCCGGATGCGGGCGTGGGTGTCTTGCTGGTGCTGTTGTGATGGGGCATGCTGGGAGGTTTTTCCTTTGGATCTGCAGCTAGAGATGCACCAAATCCAGAGGGGAGGGGTGGGTGGGCCGGGTAAGCTGATTTAGGAGGGTCAGGAAAACATTGTTGTGCTAACTCCGGGAAGGCTCGGACTGACATCGGAGTAACCTTGTGCTGACCAGGTTGTGTCCAGGTTCTTCTCTTGAATGCCCCTTGTCATGTTTCTGTTCCAAGTGTTATGCCCCCAGCTCTCCCCTGAAAGGACATATATTTAATTCAGGGGGAGAGGGAGGATATAAATGGCCCTTACTTATACAAAAAGATGCTCAAAGTAACTCAATAAATGAGATGAAAAGTAAAACTCTGTAAGATCTTTGTCATGACAGATTGTCAGAATCCCCAAAGGCTGACAATATATACACCATTGGCATGGCTACGTACAAACAGGCGCCTTCATGCAATGCTAATGGAAATGCAAAATGGCATAATCCCTTTGGGGGGGAATCTAAAAAGATGGAGCACCGGCCCTTTGTACTCTAAAGTATGTGGAAATTTGCCCTAGCCCGTTTGGCTCGGTGGATAGAGCATCGGCCTGTGGACTGAAGGGTCCCAGGTTTGATTCCGGTCAAGGGCACATGCCTGGGTTGTGGGCTCAATCCCCAGTGGGGGGGGCATGCAGGAGGCATCCAATCAGTGAATCTCTTTCATCATTGATGTTTCTATCTCTCCCTCTTCCTTCCTCTCTGAAATCAATAAAAACATTTTAAAAAAATGAAGTATGTGGAAATTTGCTAAAGATTTACCCAACAGATCTAGCAGTCTTAACAGCAGTCACAAGGACTCACATTGGTCTAACTCAGAATCCTTAGCAAAGCAAATGGTATAGAAAAGAAAAACAAAATGGATTCTTGTAGGTCTTCTAAGTTTTTTTTTTCTCAAATCTGTATATCAGAGCTTGAGGGCATGCGCAGATAAGAGTCAACATAGCCAGCCTGAGGCTGCCCTCCTTAGACTCCATGCTCTGACAAGCTTTCAGGGTCATGGAAGGATGGGCTGAAAGGGACCTTTAAATAAAAAGAAGCCCAGGTGCCTCCCTGGATATGTGATATAGGAAAGAAACTCAATCCCATGAGAAGATCAATGTGAAGGTTAATTTCATGTGTCAACTTGGCTTAGGCTGTGGTCAAACACTAGTCTAGATGTTGCTGTGAAGGTATTTTGTACATGTGATAAACATTTACAGTCAACTTTAAAGAAGATTATTCTCAATAATGCCTCACCAAGTCAGGGAAAGCTCTTAAGAGCAAAAATGGAGGTTTTTAAGAAAAGAAGGAATTCTGAGAGATAGAGAGAGAAAGAAAGAAAGAAAGAAAGAAAGAAAGAAAGAAAGAAAGAAAGAAAGAAAAAGAAAGGAAGAAAAACAGAAAGGATGTTTCCTATTGGTTCTATTTCTCTGAAGAATCCTAACTGATATGATTGGACTCATTCTTGATGAATTGTGTGAAAAAAGAATTTGAAATGAACTAATTGAGAGGCTAGGAACCAAATCTTTAGCAATTTTCCACTCTGCATAGTAGGGAAAGAAAGAAGGAGAAAGAAAATGGCATTTGACAACTTCAGATAATTTGCTTCCCACTTGGAAGTTCGCAATAAAAGTCCTTCCAGGAGGTGTTCCTAAGTCCACATACCTCACATCCAAAGATGGGATGAGTTCTCAGCCTACCTACATAAGTAATGCTTAGGCCCAGCCAGTGTGGCTCAGTAGTTAAGCACTGATCTATGAACCAGGAGGTCAAGGTTCGAGGTCAGGGCACATGCCTGGGTTGTGGGCTCAATCCCCAGTAGGGGATGTGCAGGAGGTGGCCTATCAATTATTCTCTCCCATCATTGATGTTTCTCTCTCTCTCCCTCTCCCTTCCTCTCTGAAATCAATAAAAACATATTTAAACAATTTAAAAATGCTTTAAAAATTTCCTGTTGACAGGCTATAAGCATAAGGTGGACTTCTATATCTACACAGTTCTTAAAAAGATGCAATACTAATAAGTAGGTTATTCTAGCCTCAAAGGCAATGAAAAGAATTATGGATGACTCAATGGAGAGAACTGTGCAGGTAAAAAAATGTACATCTTTTTACATCTTCTGGGCCATAAATAAGCTAATTAAATCAAAACTCAAAAGACAAACACTAATGAGGGCAACTATCAATAATATGAAATAGAATTTATAGTCTTATTATTTAAAGAGGTCATAACATTCAGTAAGAAAACCCCAAATAGTTAAATTTAAATGCACAAGGACTCTACCAGACAATTCTCAAAAACAGATTATATGAATGGCTGGCAAACATTTGAAAAAATGTACAATGCAATTCAAAGAATGCAAACTGAAGCATGAACACAATGAGACTGCATTTTCCACCTAACAAATTGGCAAAAATAGAAAAAAATAAAGCTACCCATGATGGTGCTGACAGGAGTAAGTAGCCTGTTGGAAAGCAATTTGGCAATACCTAAAACCTTGATTTAGTAATTCCTCTTCTGGCAATCCGCCTAAGGAAGGCTGAATGACAAAAATGTTTCACGCAGCATTATTTAAAATAGCAAGAAACTGAAGTATCTGGACAAAGGGAGGGGACTGGTTCATTCATTTAGTTAGTTATTCAAGTACTATACTTGTTGAGTCCCTGCTATGTGATCATTTCTTAAGACTGCTAAACAATGACTAGTTGTTTTAGGTGTATCTTCTTTTACAATGTGGGAATGTGGCCAGGCCGCATGACTCAGTGGTTGAGTGTTGACCTATGAACCAGGAGGTCACAGTTCAGTTTCTGGTCAGGGCACATGCCTGGGTTGTGGGCTTGATCCCCAGTGGGGGATGTGCAGGAGGCCACCAATTGATGATTCTCTCTCATCATTGATGTTTCCATCTCCCTCTCCCTTCCTCTCTGAAATCAATAAAAATATATTTAAAAAATAAAATGTGGGAATGTGGGTAGAATTTGTATAAAAAAATAGATGTATATGATTCGTAAGCCTATATATGACTAGAGGCCCAGTGCACGAATTCGTGCACGGGTGGGGGGGGGTCCCCTCGGCCTGGCTGGTGATTAGGGCCAATCGGGGCCGTCTCACCCAATCCTGATTGGGGCCAATCAGGACTGGCTGGCTGGGGGAGTATGGGGGCAGAGACCACCAGGGGCAACCTCTACATTGAGCATCTGCCCCCTGATGGTCAGTGCGTCATCACAGTGACCAGTCATAAAGGTCAGGTCGGGTTGGGTCATTTAGGCTTTTATATATATATATATTATGAATGTTTATACTACAACTGGAAGGCTACATAAGGAATTCATATCAGAGATTGCCTTTGGTAGAGGAGCTGGGTGAGGTGTAGAAGGAAAATTACTCACTATACTCTTTTGTACCATCTTGAATGTTTAACCATGTGCATGGATTTTGTTAGCATTGTGATAGTGCACAGTGTGTATCTGATCTTATTTGTCATAGGCATGTCTTGAGTTGTTTTCAGGTGATTTCATGGGTGTCTCATCTTCCTGAATGTAGAAAGCTCTTCAAGAGAGAAGGGACTGTTTCATATTTCTTTGTATTTCCCCATAGTGCTTAGCACAATTTTGGCACATAATGGGTATTCAAAAATATGTAAATAGAAAATAATGTAATTTGGTGCTCAAATACCCTGAGAGTAAAAGTTAAAATCAGTGACTCTGGATACTGCTTTAATGCTGACTGGTGTATTTTAATGCATATTACTTATATTTCATATCATAGTTTGCTACTCTGCCAATAGGGGAAAAACAAGATAATTGATGACATTCTTTAGTGAAACTTTATATAGAGAAATGCAAAATTCCCTTTTAATTCCTGTGTATCCACATGTAATCTTAATAGTTAAATTGACTTAAAGACCTCAACAGCAAGTAAGGAAATATATAGACAGTCTCAGGGTTTTAATTATTGCAAAAAATAAAAATTGTAATATAGGGATTGTTCATTTGTAAGAGACTATGTTTGTTTTCCTATATGTTAGGAGTCTGTAACCTACAACAATTCCTTTATCATGAAACATGGTTTTATTTTGCTTTATTCTCCTCTATATGAGAAACAGGGGACAAAGTTGTTATGGTAATAAGTTGTGTTCACCAGTGAATTTTTTTCATTCTGCAGTTTCACGAATGAATGACAACATCAGTTGAAACTGGAACCTCATTTGGTATATTGATTGTCTTCACCAACTACACACACACACACACACACACACATACACACCCATAGCCATTTATTTTCATTACCGGCTGAAGAAATTAACTGGCAAACTACCAAAGGGAGTATATGTCACTAAGTGAAGTTCCTGAAATGCAGCTCTTTTTTTTTTTTTTCATTGCACAACATTAGACAGGTCAGGACTGTTCCAGAAGGTACAGACACCATTCAGTACAAAGTACAAAGCAGGGACAAGTTTGAGGACGAGAAGGAACTATTGAACAAAGGACCTGTTTTTGCTTCTGAAATTCCCAGGTGGAATTAGTTTGATGTTGAATGCTGTTGGTGAAAAGGCTGGTCCAGTGTGAAAACAGACTTAGAGATAGAGGTGTAAATAAAGTCCTGAGAAGAACCAGGCTCAGTGAGCAAAGTTCTCCCAGCTGGCCCTTGCCAGTTTGGCTCAGTGGATAGAGCTTTGGCCTGTGGACTGAAGGGTCCCAAGTTCAATTCCCAGTCAGGGCACATGCCCGGGTTGCGGGCTGGATCCCCAGTGGGGGGCTTGCAGGAGGCAGCCAATCAATGATTCTCTCTCATCATTGATGTTTCTCTCTCTCTCTCTCCCTCTCTCTCTGAAATCAATAAAAATATATTTAAAAACAAAATAAAGTTCTCCCAGCTGGTTGAAGGGTACTTTGCTACAAAATTCCATAAAGAAAGGAAACCCACAACCGGATTGGCATGGCTTAATGGTTGAGTGTGCACCTGTGAACCAGGAAGTCATGGTTGCCTGGGTTGGAGGCTTGATCCCCAGTATGGGGCATGCAGAAGACAGCCAGTCAATGATTCTCTCTCATCATTGATGTTTCCTTCTCTCTCTCCCTCCCCTTTCTCTCTAAAATCACTAAAAGTAATTTAAAAAAAAAAAGAAGAAAAGAAAGGAAACCCACAAACCTGCTGGAATGCATGGTGGAAAATTGGAGATTTTATTAAACTAAAAAATATAGAGTAAGATCCCAGTACAACAGTTGACAAATGGCCCATTGCCGATTGCCAGCCTGAATGGGCGGCCCAGTAAGGTCTGGAGGGTATGCCTTGTCAGTAAGGGATAGAGGACACACTGTTGTATTTATTGGGGCTTTAGCAGTGTTTCCTTCAATAGAAGGAATAAGAAAGAAAAAAAGGGGGTTAAGAGGAAGAAAAAGGAGGAAGAGAAAAGAAAACAAGGAAAAAGACAAAAGAAGAAATTCTCACTTCACAGAGCATAAAAAAAGAATGAGGATGGGAAAGAGGAAGAGGTGGAAGTTAACATTTATAGATGTCATCCCCTCTCCTCCTCTGTACAATCCCAAAGTGGTATTTTATCGCCATTTTACAGATGAAGGAGGGACAAGTCCCACAGCTGTAAAGGAATAGCGCTGGACTCGAACCTGACCATACTAATTCCCCCTCCTTTCTATAGGAAAACTTTCAAGTCAGCCAAGGGGACTTTTGTGAACTATGATTTGGCCAATTGGCATAAGTGTGTTAAGGGAAATCAGCATTACTTGCAAAATTGTCGCTGTAATGTTAAGTTAAATTTCACCTTTGGGAAAGAGGTCATGAAGGGCATGGAAAGCTTTAAATGCCTTTACATCAATCCTGAATACGTGGGAACGGCATTTACAACCAGTCATAATGATAATGATAATGATATGCCTTAACAAAAACAATTGGATTAGTTTACCCTGCAAATGAAAACCTGAAAAGAGGAATAATATTCCATGGTTTTAAAATATATATATTTTCTGGCCAGTTGGTTGAGCATCTTCCTGTGTACCAAAAGGTTGCTGGTTCGATTCCCGGTCAGGGCATATACCCAGGTTGTGGGTTCGATCCCCTGTACGGGAGGCAGCTCTGATCAATGTTTCTCCCTATCCCACACAGGGGATTGAGCCCACAACCCGGGCTTGTGCCCTGACCTCCTGGTTCATAGGTCGACGCTCAACCACTGAGCCTGGGTAAGCCAGGCTTTTAAAAAGCCTCAAACAGCCCTGGCTGGTTTGGCTCAGTGGATAGAGCGTCAGCCTGCGGGCTGGGGGGTCCCGGGTTCGATTTCCAGTCAAGGGCACATGCCCCATATGGGCTTCATCCCCAGTGGGGGGGGGGGGGGCAGGGGGCAGCCAATCAGTGATTCTCTCTCATCATTAATGTTTCTCTCTCTCTCTCCCTCTCCCTTCCTCTCTGAAATCAATAAAAATATTTTAAAAAATAAATAAAAAGCCTCAAACAGCAGTGGCTTGGAGAGATGAAATACTATAAGGAAAGGAAATCTAGGAAAATGTTCATTATAGAATCTCAGTGGAATATAGGTGACTGTTCGCTGCATAGTTCCTTCAAGCTGTTCTGTATGTTTGGGAATTTTCACCATAAAATGTAGGGGGAAATCAATGACTTGATATTTGCCACTGTCAACCAATTTTGGTTAAGAGGACGGCTGGGACAATGGCCTCAATATAAAAAAGGTAAAGGTTTCTCATCCATCCTGGCAGAGTGATTGGGGGGGCGGGGAGGGAGGAGAGAGGGACAGGGGCTCAGTGTTGGTCAGTGTTGGCATCTCTTCTGGGAGGGATTTCATTAGGGGCCCAGCCAGGGCTGGCAGACAAAGTCAGGCAGAGGCAGACGTCCATCTGTGGGCTTTTTCTACCAGAAACCACTAGCTACCCTAAAAGCTGTAATCTCGGGACAGAGAAATTGAGAACTGAGCTGAATGAAGTGGCCCAGGTCTTCTCGCATGAGGAACACCCACGGTGGGGAGCCTTGGAGAGCCCCATTCCATTCGTTTTCTCTCTGTTGGCCCACATGGCCCTGAAGTAGAAGCGGTGCCTCCAGCTGCATGAGTCCAAGAACCAGCCCAGCCCCTGGCACTGCAGGTCCTTCTGGAAAAGATGACAGGGGCATATTTGGAAAAGCTCGCGGTGTGTTTTTATTGCTGCTGCTACCATGCAGATGCTTTTTTTTTTTTTGCGCTGTTCTGCACGTAGCCATAGGATTCTCTTCTGACTGCAGCCATTCTATGGAGGAAACTCTAGCAGTAATCTATGCAGTGCTGGCCTGGAAAGGGGAAAGGCGGGAGGGGGAGCTGCCATAAACTCGGCTCCCTCCCTCCCCCATACCCATGACATAAGGGATCTCAGAGGGGCCTACAGAGCTTTGCAGCAAACACGCGCAGATTCATTCCGCCAGCTTGTCAGAGCTTCCGGTTTGAAACAGCCTAATCCGGCATCATAGGGGACTGGCGAGATACATTATGACACAGCCCTTCAACAGAAATGCACGCAGTTCCTTTAAAAAGCATGAGCGTGCTTCAGGTACTGCCGAGTAATTTCCAAGCTACGTTGTCAATTAGAAATGAAAATAAATAGAAAAACAGTGTGGTGCCCATCCTGTGGTTAAAAATATAGGATGTCGCCCCAAAATGTATAATATACATTTGAGTTGATAGCTCAGTTGATGTTTCTTTCTTTTCAGATTTAACCCATTGGAATGAATAATTTTTCAAAGTGTGTTTACATTTTTTGAGACACCCTATATATACCTCTATGGTCATACATGCAGAATATCTTTGGCTGTGTGTACAGAAAAAAAAAACTTGTGTCAGGGGATAGAGACAGGGGCAGGGGTTAAGATGAAGAATCATAATCACTGGATAAAATACGCTTTTTGTGTTAGTTGACTTGTTAACATGGGTATATTTTTCTATTTAAACAAATTACTTTTACCTAGAAAAAGTAGAAACAAAACCACACTCTTAAAGCAACAGCATCAGAACTATAGTCTTCAGGCTGCCCAAGCTCCTTTTTAAAAAATATATTTTCATTGATTTCAGAGAGGAAGGGAGAAGGGGAGAGAGATAGAAACATGACTGGTGAGAGAGAATCATGGATCGGCTGCCTCCTGCACGCCCCTAACTGGGGGTTGAGCCCGCAACCTGGGCATGTGCCCTGACTAGGGATTGAGTCCTGACCTCCTGGTTCATAGGTTGATGCTCAACTACTGAACCATGTCAGCAGGGCCAAAGCTCCTTTTTCCGACTGACATGAGAGTCCCGGGTAATTTACTTAACATTGGGCCTGAATGTTGAGGGTTGGAGACCAGCTTATAGCAGATATTGAGGGCCCGCTGAGGAGGCCCCACCAGCCTCCCACAGGGTCTTTTCTGGAAGCCCCACCACCAGTGCCCCAAAGCAGGTTCCCTTGGGCATTAACAGCCCTAATTTCAGGTTTCCAGGCTCCTGGTTTAGTAAGAGGGGAGGAAAAGAAAGGGGAAAACTCAGCCAGGTTGCAGTTTGCAGTGGAAGGTGTGGCCATGTCACACTGTGGGTGTTTCCAGGGGCACCTCTGGCAAGGGGGTAGCAAGCTATGACCTCACACTCACTAGGACTCTGACACCTGGGGGCACTTGACCTTAAATTTTGATGACAAGCCACCTGGGCTTCCCATCCTGCTTCCACCATTGACTGGCTGTGAGGCTTGGGACATGACAAATTTTCTAAGCCTCAGTTTTTTTCATTCAAGCAGTCGGAGGGAGGGTGGGATGGGGGAGAGAATACTGCTACTAATGAGGTCATAGGTTGTTGCTAAAATTAGGCTTTCAATAAATGTTGTCTAGCTTAGTAAAAGCGTGGATTCTGGAGCCAGACAGCCTGGGTGTAAATCATAGCTATACCATTCACTAGTTTTGTGACTCAGTCTATTCACCTGTTAAATGGGCATAATAATAGTACCTAAGTCATAGGGCTTTTATAATCTATAAATCAGTTAACACATATAATATACTTAGAATGGTACCTTGTGTATAGCAATTTTTTGAGCTGGATAAGGTCTTCACTGCACTTTTTATTTTTAATAACAAAGAACTGTGGTCCAGAAAGGGACTTGCCCAAGGGGGACTATTCCTTAGTGACAAAGTCAGGAATTAAAACCCAGTCTCCTAACTCCCATTCTAGAAGGTTTTCCATTGTTTACTTTAGACCAGAATGTTTTCTTCCATTCTGGTAATACAGTTAGAAAGAAGTGAGCAAAAACCTGTTGGGAATCAGAGAAAATGATACTGGGTTCAAGTTCAGTTGTGTGGCCACAGCCAAGTTTCTTCAATTCTTGAAACCTCCTCTTCCTTGGGACTAGGTTGAGGATAATAATATGTACCTGGTAGTGGTGATGTGGTAAGTGCTGTTGTACATGTAAGATACCAGGCGTGTAGTGTTTCTCAGTAAATGGTAATATTAATACCAATTAATAATAGGTGATGGGATAGTAGGATCCCACATCTACAGATAGATGGCTTTTTTTACTTCTTGATCTTCCAGGGCTTGCAAACTGACTTGATAATTCCCAGTGTGGATACTTACTAACCATACAGACTCATTTCGGTAGCAATTATTTTAAAAACAAATTGGAAATGTCAGCATAAGCTCTCAAATGTCAGAGGCAGGGACAAGATGGTGTTAATGACA